TCACATCCGAACTAAGGAAGAAATCATTCCAGTCGCAGGAATTAAGGTATGTTAATAATTCGGTCGAGCGAGTTGATCGGAAATCGCGGAAAAAGTCATTCTTTGGGGACAACGTTTTGTCAGCCTCGAATTCCAATGTTGAAACAACTATGTCATGGTGTGAGCCCCCGAGTGGACCTAGGGATGACACCGACGATGGCATGCAGCCTCTACAGAAAATAGGGTCAAGTATGCTTGATTCTCTAGTGGGAAAATCGACAACCTAATTCCACATCCCAACATCCACAGCCTCAAGAAAGTCTTCGAAGCGCCTGGAGCCTGATGTCAGAGACCAGCGGACATCAGGGAGATTAAAGTCATCCGCAACCAATTGACACTTAAAGCTTAAGTCGGCCGCAGCATGAAATGTCTGTGAGAGTAAACGCTCGAAATTATCATTGGCGTTGGCAGGGCGATAGATACAGCCAACGAGTAACGAGAACTTATTTTTTTAGTGCAATCTGGAGACATCAGGTGCCTTCTACTGCGGAAGAATGCGGGAGGTCCAACGGCAGACATGCAAGTGTTTGCTTAACGCAGACGCAACTGCCCCCACCACGGCTATCTTGGCGGTAATTTCGAAAGCAATTATAGTCTAGAAGAGAGAGAGAGTTCGGAATCGGCTACGGAAGCTGATGTCCACGTCTTAGTTACTGAAACAGTATCTGGACAATGGACGAACACCAGTGTCTGAAGCAAAGGCATCTTATTAAGCAAAGATCTGGCATTTAAAACAAAAAGTTTGATGGGAAAGGCCGTTTGTTTCTGAGGGAGGTGGGCTACGTCGTCCAGTGCTTGGCTGCCCACGGAGCAAACGGTCCGGATGCAACCATCCGGTTCTGAAAAAAAATGTTGTGGCATCAAAAGATTATGACGTGGATAAAACGGGGTAGGAATTGGGGGAGGGAACGACGGGCAGGAAAACTGGTAACCGTTGATAGCTACCTCATTTCCGGCTGGAAATCCGCGGGCCAGATACTGCAACACATTCCTGCCGGAACAAAACTGAGGATCGGATGAGTTAACAGATCCACTATGTACACTAGCATGAGGAATACATTGGTAAAACGTCCGTGATGGAAACAAATTTGGGGGTGGGGGACGCAGCGTCTCCATTGGAGCAAGAGTTCTATTAAACGGCGGGAAGATCGGCATATTCGGCCTAACTGCCTCGATATGAGTGCTGGGGGGGGGGGGGGGGGCGGCAGTTAGGAACCCGCTACGTTTTGAGTCGGGGTATTTGAGGCACTGTTAGCCGATTGTGGTCTTAGACACATGCTTAGGCTTACTAGGGATTGCTGGGGGAGTCGGTAGACGCGTGTTCATACCACGCGTGACGGTGTGTTTAAAGATCTCGGCATGAAGAGTAGTCGAATTCGCTACGGAATTGACTATGCCGTGATGTGTAGATGCCGCAGATGGTGTTGTAGAGGACTTATTCAGACTGACAGTAGGTGTCATTATCCTGGTGTTGGTTTTTGCCGATTTTAATTTATTCAGTCTTCGCTGCAGGGGTGTGAGGTCTGGCGAAACGAGGCAGTGCCATTTTCTGTAGAATTCTCTAGTTATCTCCCTCCTCGACAAGACGAAATCGACTTCTGTCATGGAGAAAAGGGTAACTAGTATCGGCACATTACAGCTAAGCGAGCGCAGTCGTTTAGCTTGTGCGACACTGAAACTCAAGCCACAACTTTGTTGGAACACATGCGCTCCATTTATAGCAGATAAGTGGCTCGGAATGTTTCGCAGTACGAAATTATGCTTGCGCTTAATTCTTTCCTCAGTTTACGAACTTATTACCCCAATAAGTTTAAAAGCTTGTTCAATTACTTTTTCAGAAGTGCTGTTTATGTCGCGATAAATAAACGGATCGACTATTTCGCCGGCTGATGGCCTGCTACGACTAGCAGAGGCATATTTTTGGACGACTGAAGGGTCAAGAGGTTCTACATGTACTAAAGGGATTTGTGAGTTAATCAGATTGGCAGACGACGAAGAACATACGCTGGCACCTGCTATGCCTTCAGTCACGATTTTAGCACCCAGAGACGGTGGGGAGGCCGCAAGCTATCGCCGTTTAGCAAGTGGCCTGCGGGGCATTACAGACAAGAAAAGTTCTTCGTTACAGAAGAAGGATCAAAACGTTGCCATCGTACGGAAAGGCGCACTGAATAGCAAGTACTACTGTTATTTAACCACGAAAAATAGAAAGAGATAGTAGGGAAATGAGTCACTACAAAGGTTTTTTTTTTTTTACAAAATACGACTATTTTGCCAGACTGTCAAATAAAACTGGGAAAACTTATATCTTGTATTGAAAGGCGACTTTTAAAAGGGGCTCACACATCTACCTTTTCATGAGTTGCAGTTTTTCTCATTTAAAGGTAATCAATTCATATTCATTTTGTCTTTTTTAAAATGAGTTTTTTACTGCTCGCTGACAGTTTTTAATATCTGACTGTTTATTCTGCAATCGTGGATGGAATACTGTACCGAATCTGTCTATGTGTTCAACAATGTACTCGAACATTTTTTACTTGCTATGAGGGTACCCTCGCGAATACTTAAGAAAATAATTAATTTATTTATAAGATGGCCCAGAAGGCAACTAATGCTTCATACGGAATCAGACGTACATCTAAAATATTCCCTCCGAAGTCCTCGAAAGACTTTTCGGCGTCATTGCAAGACTTCATCTAGAGTATGGAATGCCAGCAGCTTCATCGTGGATGAGGAAGGATACTGACTTACTCAACCAAGCGCAACGCAGAGCAACGAAGATTGTCGGCAGCCTAAAGCATTTGTCTTACCAGGAGAGGCTGAATGTGTTTGGCTTATTCCCTCTCTCTTAAAGGCAGCTAAACTGCAGTCTACACCGGTCATTCCGGATTGTCCGTGGCCAAGGTTGTTCACTGAGAACGGAGAAACTTTTTGAGTTCGCCCGTGCAAACCAATTACGCTGTCATCCTTATAAAGTTAAAAGTGAACGCTCACTGCTACACCGTAGGAAGTTTTTATTCAGCCAGGTGGTTGTCCGACCTTGGAGCTCGCTACTAAATGAGATCGTGACGGCCGCCACAATTCGCATGTTTAAAAGAAAACTTGCTCGCTTAATTTTTAACAGAAACCGACTTTTACAACATTACTACTCCCAGCCAGCTTAGTAAAGCACTTTGTCGTGCCTTATCTTTCCGTACGGACTTACAGTGAACAGATGAGCTTCCTTATCATTACGACTGTACTGGGATCCGACCACATTGCAAATGTTTGTTTTGAGTGCGAAGCTGTGAAAGCATTGTGCATAAATAGGGTTATCAAAGACCCTGCCTCTAACCCTTCAAATGCATAGATACACGCATGAACACATTCCTCTGAAGAACACACGACGAAGGGCAAACAAACTCGCCAAGGGACTGACGTGCCTACCTTATTAGAGACGATCAGAAAGGCTTCATTTCTCTCCCTCCCTTATAAACAAGGCAGAAGGGATATGGTCATTGTTTTCGAACTTGCTACAAGAGAAGACTGTGCAATTTAATCGACCCATTTTTTTGAATTGGCACAATCGACAAATCTCCGAGGTCACCAATAGAAATTACGCACCAACTTGGATACAGTAAGCTGACTGCCCAAGCAGAATTTCCTCAGTAATCCACTAGAATCCATCAAATGTGCGCTAAAACAGCTATGAATTACGTGAGCCTAGTAGTGATCTGGTGGATTCTATGTGGATTACTTGAGAAATGCTGCTTGAGCGGTCAGCTTGCTATATCCCATCTAGTGGATTCCGGACATTGCAGTATGATGGGTGGATAACTTGACCCAAATTTGATTAAACTCACGTCTTCCGGTGGGGTCTCGTAGCCCAGTTAGCTAGGAGTTGGCGGTACAAAAGCCTTCCCCTTATTTTCGCGGGTTCGAATCCAACCGAGACGCCGAATTTTTCACAGTTGCGTCAGTATGAATTATTGAAACTACCAAAACACCTATGGATATACTGAATTATACTAAATAACAGCGCCATTAGGGGTTCCGTCCGTAATTCACAGGTACATACGCATTCAATGCAAAGTGTACACTTCTGAGATGATTTTGATGCCAAAATGAAGCTGAAAAATGACAGGCAGAGTTGATGTTGTTCGGATATTGTGCAACGTTTCAGGCGCATGTCGTCTGTATGCCGACACTTTAATAGGTCTAAGCAAAACGGCATAAACAGGACGTTGTACTGGCAAATTAATGACATTTGGTCACGTGTTTTCACCTTTATTACTTTCACTCCGTCATCGATCTTACGGCCGAGCTCATTCTACATTAATTTTATGGCATTTGGAGCTAATGTGAAACGTAAGTCGGGGCATATCAGCCTAGATATATTGATATGACTGAAAGTAAAATCGGTGTTGTTCGGAAGCGTAAATGAATTGAAAAGTACGAGGGAGTAAATAGCAACCAGTCACGTGGCATGAAATGGTATGCCAAAACTGCATACCGACTTAAATCTGTCTACTGATTTAGGGCTACCTCATTGCTGCGCAGAGCACGAAAAGCATGCCAACGAGATGTCATTGGTATGCTTTAATTAGCCACCGGAAAGAAGTCACGGGAAAGAACAAAGTGGAATGCAGGTAGACCGATTGATATGTTTAGAAATAAAATTAATAGCATGCTGAAATTTAGATGAGTAGGAAAACGCGATGGCTAAAACTGCTTGGTGTCTCCGGACCTGCGAGCACTTCGTGCACATGTTACCTAAATAGTTAGTTTTTACATAAGAAGTAAAAAACACTTCCCAATTTCCTGATGGCGTTTAGGAGTTCATGGACTCAAACTCAGGCTTAATGCCCCAGAAGGACATAAGTGCAAAGTTTACGATTGACCCTGACTATCTGCTATTGTTCGAGTTTGCAAATAGCGGGTTAGGCGGCAGTTGCGAAAGAGAACGTTGTCCACTTTTCACCATGTCAGATTACGATTCGGACGAGGAGCCAACGGCCTCAGACGAGACTGTGCTTAACAAGTATAAGGTCGCGGCAGAATGTGCCCACAGTAATAATCCTTCCTTCTTCACCTTGTGTTTAAAGTTGTTCTGCAGGAATTATTGAAACAATGCACCGACGGAGCCAACATAATCGAGCTCTGCTCTCTCGGCGATAAACGCATCGTCGAAGAGACGTCTAAATTGTACAAAAAGGAAAAAGAGTTAAAAAAAGGTTTGTTTTCTGGTCGATATACAACATTCGCGCAGGCATTGCCTTCCCGACCACTATCAGCGTGAACAATATCGTGTGTCACTACTCTCCTATTGAAGGTGAAGAAAATGCGATTGTACAGCTGAAGCAAGATGACTTGGTCAAAATGTAGTCAACGATATATTTAATTACTGTTTTCAAGTGATCTAGGCGCTCACATTGACGGTTTCGCAGCTGTAGTTGGTCACACGTTTGTGGTCGGCGCCAAGGCGGTAAGTTAACTGGTCAACCTTATGCTAGTTTCTTAGGATAACAAAATCACCGGCCGGAAAGCAGATGTTATACTCGCTGCCTATAACGCTGCCGAAGCCACAATGCGCCTTCTGAGACCTGGAAATGACGTAATAGCCTGTTTCTGATGATTTCTGTAGAATTTCAAAATTACTGATGTCATCTCGAAGGTTGCCAGCGAGTTTAATTGCAAGCCGGTGGAAGGTACGCCTCATTCTTTGGGTAAAATTCCGCGGAAGGCGTTCAGTCCCATCTTATGCGCAAGTCGGTTTTTGATGGCGAGAAATCCATTGTCCTCAATCCGTCTGAAGAACAGAGAAAGGCAGTGGAGAAGTGCACTTTTGAAATGTACGAGGCCTGGCTCATTGATATCGTCATGTCAACTGGCGAAGGAAAGACTAAGGAGGAAAACGCTCGTCCGACCATCTATAAGAAAAATGAGACCGTGTACCACCTGAAAATGAAGGCATCTAGACGTATGCTAGTGAAGTTATACATATATTGTGCTTAGAATTTTACAGTGAAGTGTCATCGAAGTTCCAAATCTATCCTTTCAACATCAGGTATTTTACAATAACCAATTGCAACCTTCAGGGGCGTTGATGACATTAAAAAGGCTCGTTTTGCAGCGACAGAATGTTCCCGGCACAATGTCATCACTCCTATGACCGTCCTCTCGGATAGAGAAGGTTTCACAGTCTTTATTTTATAACTTTGCAGATGAGTTTGTAGCACAGTTTAAGTTTACCGTCCTTCTAATGCCTAACGGACCTATGCGAATTACCGGCTTGCCTTTCGATCCCGCGTTGTACAAATCTGATTACAAGATCAAGGATGCTGAACTCAAGGTTTGCGATCTGACCTTATAGTTACCCATTCCTTAAAAGGAATTGATGTCCCAGCCTATCAAGTCTTCGGGTAACAAGAAGAAAAAGCCTGCAACGACGGCTTGATTCTCAGATGGGACACGATAAAATTGTCACAGGGATTCCGGGACTTCTGTATGGTCGTTGTATATGCATGTCCGATATTTCATAATAAAGTGGAATTATTTTTCTGACATGCCTCTAGCCGTTTTTGTGTCCATTTTTCGCATTGTTATGCCTCCATATCAGACGATTTAAGCACGTAGGCGCAGTCTCGACTCTCTTCGGTTTCCTTACAGCTTTCCACTGTCCCGTGTAGCTTAGTGTGTTACGTCGTGTGATGTTTGCGTTGGCACGTGCCTGCTGACTTGTTAGCTTTTTTTCAAGATAAATCAAATGTTACCCGATTGCTCTGTCGGTCGGCGCTCCCTGAAATTCAAAATTGCTCCTTTTTCTGTTTTTGACAATCTCGGTTACCCTTTCATTGCGGAGGCCACGTAAACGTCACATCATGGCAATTTTGCAAACGTTGTAGACCACCGGACCGTTCGCCCAGGATGGCGGTGATATTAATGTAATCGTTCAACGTCTCGCAAGACATTCGGAAAACGGACTGAAAACACCCAGTATGTTATCTTAGGCGCGTGGTGTTTCTGAGCGTCGGCCGTCTGGAAAACTGCCTCGGCGGGAACCCCGCACATCCAATTTAATTCTTGATTTACGCTAGACCAGGTCCGGGCATTCGATTCTTTGCATCATAATCAGTTTACGACAGCCGCCAACTAGCTCAGAATCCTTGCCGGCTACCGCCATTGGACAGGTGTCTCTGAAAACCGAATGTGCGGCAGCTTTTGTACTGTTAGAGCTTGTTTTCGTGCACACTTCGATTGTATCCGCGTCCACCCCGAACGGGCCACGTTGCACTCCTGTAGATATACATTTACCAACACGAAATGCCATTGACTTATTCGGACTCCCTTTTACACGTGACCTGCGGGATCTTTATACCACGCAATTAAGCCCTGCTTTTGACAAATTCAGTCCGGAAATTAAGGGGATCGTTTCCTGCTTATAATTGGCTTTTGGTCCTTGGTCTTGAATCAACTAAAACGAAATCCGTGGCACGTCCATATGTGCCTTGATTGACAACAGAAATCCTGACGGACAGGCGTGGTCCGCAGAAGAGGTGACAGTGACTGCTGGTAACGAATGCTAAGCGAGAATTCGGCGGGGCAAGGAGTGCTGTTCCATGAAGCCATGCTGATCTCCCACGCACCGCGTTGGAAATGAAAGCGATGACTGAGGATGGCCAGTTTGTGGCTGCAGCCGCCGTTTCTCATGATTGTGTGAAAGGGTGTGTAGTCAGTTAACCGGGTTCGGTCGAGGCTGTTTAGGGTCGTTTTCTTACTAAACCAGTTGAGAATAATTGTAGAATTAAGAGATCGGGTTGGATAACCAAGCAGCCCAGTCTATTTGTACGTTGACTGGTTCGTGGACGAAAAACATGCCGTCGGAATTCTACGTAGCAACAACTCCCATTCCCCATCTCAACCAATCCCACGGAATCAGCGACCGTCTTGCAACGGCGCAGAAATAAAATTGCCGTTGTCAATGCCCGCACCCCGTCGGAGGCAGATAGTGACGATTACGAATAGCTCCTACGAATAGTCGCGCCTCACCTGTGCTCTTCGGGCCGACAGACCGTCCTCAGAAGCTTTGATGCAAGATTAAGCAAAGATCACTTCGTATACGGAGTGCCTGGCTGTCACAGGCAGTCCACAGCAACAAGTTCACAGAAAACACCTCCGTCGTCACCAGCGTGATCTTTCACTTTTAGAATCATAAGTAGGCTATACGGGTGCGTCTTCAATCATGTCGGCGGCGAGTGGGACGTGACCTCATCGGGAGAAAGGTTTACGCTGACGTACTCGTGCCAAAGGTGATGCTTGATGTCAAGCGCGGGACTGACCACCGCATTTTCCTGTCGGGGGCGAAGCCCCATAGGTCTAACCGCCGAGGCCTTCTTAGGGAAAGGTGTTTGTGAAGGTCGAGACAACAGCATGTATCTACTTAAGTGCGGAATGGAGCTTTCCGACCAAATAAACACCGATCTAGACCAAATAAAAAACCTGGGGGATGCGGGTATTGGACACAGCTGGAATGGACCAGGGCGGCATCCATGCTCCCCTCCTATGGGGTAGCTCTATGTGTACTTCGAAGGCACATGCCCGGTATAATATCAACCATGAAGGAATGCAGCGACTGATTGAGGAAGACCAGCTTCATAGGGTCTACATGCTGCCCGACGCCAAAGTCTTGGGGGAGCCGGGACAACGAGCTGACTAGCAAGATAGGTGGGATCTGCGGTTACGTAGATCGTCGTCGGTCATCTAATCTGAAACAACCCTAATGTCAATAAAACCACAGGTCGCAGAACGTTGGGCGCAACCGTCATAGACCCAAAATAACCATTCGCAATTTACAGCGACCCTATTGATGGACTTCTCAAGACAAGAGCGATGCCGTTTTAGATCATCCGCTTCCCATGTGGGGATAACCAGGGCCCGGACGCTGACTCACTGTCAGTCAAATATAGTAGTCCCCAACCCACGACAAGCTTGTCTAGCTACCTTAGGAGCCGTGTCGTTGAGGGAAAATTTTGAAAGCTTTCGACAATGCATCCGTCGTCCACTTGTATAAACACACTGGCAACCGGCGAATTTGCGACGAAATCTTCGACTGACTTATGTGGAGTCGCCCCAATGTTCATTTCCAGCAATGAATCTCGACAGCCAATGTGTACCCCGGAAGAGCCACTGGAAAAGTGTCAGGGAATGAGAACATTCGGATGTTACGGTCGGTTTACGGTAAAGTGGTCGACGGCGCGATCTCACACGCAGCCGACAACATGTCAACGTCGGGGCTATTTATGAGGCAAATTTTCGTCTTCGTTCCAATTCCCAGCCTCATTTCCCTTTACGCTGTGTGAAGTGCGCCGCGGGGTTTGCGCAGGCAACGATACAGACTATCGAACAGATGGGTAACTATGTGGCACCCCCCCGCATGCAGGCTATCATAAAAACCTCCAAGGCCAGGATATATGACCTATTTGTTGGTGACAGTGTACTGAACACTACAACTGAGTCGTACACATAGCGCAGTCTGGAATGCCTCCTTTCGGATGCTCCCACTTCCAATTAATCATTAACGCCAAAAAGGGTTGCAATGCACCAGCCAGTGCTTGCCTTTGAATATGCCGAACCTACGACAATCGTCAGCGGTAGTCGACTCGTGGCAGTTAATCAATTAGTACCTGGGTAACGCCATCTCATGAATCAGCACAGTCGCCGAGGCTGCAGGTCGGTCCTTTAGAGTCTGAAAGGTCTCAACACTCAGCATAGAATCGTTGTGGCAGGTCGTTATCCTGACAAATCACCTGCGCCGTGGGGATGCTTGGACAATCTGCTGAAGACAGACGAGAAAACCAAACTGCTTCTACCTGAGCTGTTTCATAAAGATATTAAAGGTAAAGTGGTGAGAATGCATCCCAACATCCAGGTCCTGTAGTCGACGTTTTCGTTAAGCGTCCATGTCGTATTGAAACAGCCCCAGCTCTAACGAAGCCGCCACATAGTCGAGCAGGCTGACGGACGTTTACCCAATCGAGTAATCTACGGCGACGTCATTACGAGTACTCATGAGTTAGAAGGCCAATAATGACAACAGGGCCATCTTAAAAACCTCTCAACAATATCTCCAAATCAACACAGAGACCGGACCAAACACTTTTCTGGGCAGGCCGGACAACCGTTAAGACTTGAACTGAAGTCTTTGAAGTCAACCGACTGAAGGAGGTCGAAAAAAGGCGACACACCCCCAAGCATGGGCTGCCATGGGCCAACGTCTCTAAAGTCTACTTTTTACCATCATGCCCCATCTCGTGACCTCAGTCAAGACCTCCAGTTTCACCTTAACCACAAGAGAGCCGGACCACCTCCCGCACAACAGAATATGTCATCAGTGCAGCAACTCCTGCTTGTCTTCTCTCCAAAATCATCTAGTCCTGGTTTGCCTCGATGAGACACCTTGGCAGCGCGGGCGCCTGCGGGACACAGATGGCAGCGCCAGCCCGTTTGTGTTCGCACATTTGAGCCATCTGCCGGCCTGATCGGGCGTCTGCGAATCCACCGCAGCACAGCTGTGGGTAACCAGCGCCAATGTACGCGAGCGACACTCGTCACGCCTGTAATTTCTGTCCACGCTTCATCAGTACATTCAGCCGCTGCGTGGCCGTGTCTGTCAAATGCACCTACTACAGAACCGATCATGGATCATGCGACAAATTTTGCCAACGTCAGCGCTGACAGACAGCACATTGTGCGTGTCGCTGTTTGCATTTGTCATGCGCCAGGCTCACGCAGCGTCAATTAATGAACCTAAACTCATCAGCAGTCAGCCGACAGGATCGAACATGCTGCTGGTGCATGGGGGGGGGGAGGCGGGTACGTCTGATTTCGTGGCACCCGTCCTTGTGACTATTGGGCGGGCTCCATGTAGCAGTAAATCTGGCACGCTCAAAACCACCACGACTGTCCCTGTAGTCGTGGCCTGGAAGAATTTCAGGCCACTGGTAGCCTCTGTTCTCCTTCAAATTGAAGATCGGACTGCAGTAACGTCCCGTGTGGTCTTTATGCCAGTCTCAGATAAGATCCGAGGGCTCTCTCATGGAGGTCCGGT